ACGTGTGCACTGCAGGCCCCAAAAAAGACGCATTAACTGAGACTGTCTACACAGTCTGATAAACCCAGTGACAGTGCGACAGGACGTGGTGTCTCTCAACTAAGTTCTAATGAGAAATGAAAACAACCGTGTGTTTGTGTTTGTGCAATGTATTTACAAAGCTCAGCGCTATGCAGCCAGTGTCTGGTTTAACTCTGATATATACACTATGTATTATGCATGGCCACAGAGACATTTATGGATTATGTGGATTTTCTGGGTGATGTCTATAAATAGTCCTGTCTTTCTTTAACTTCCCACGATGCAATACGTTTCGTTGCTTTAACATTATTTTAGATTATTTACAATTTCACTCCGCAGAAAACAGACTGAGAGATAACAGATAAAATATGGACACACTCATGTTTCTGAGCATTAACCTCACATTTATAATTCAGTGCTGCATTGTTAACGATCAGCTATCACACAACTCGTAAACATTCACACACATAGCGCACACAAAAGGTAGCGGCTGCTGGTTATGAAAAAGCTTTTGAGTCTCTGTATGCATCTGAGCCATGAGAGTGCGGCTTACATAAATACTTGATCATGTCTGGATTGGACTCAGTCTGAAAATATATAATCCGCCTTGTTAGGATCACATGGAGCAAGAGGAAGGGAGGAGGAAGAGACCCACAGCGGAGAGATCAAGAAAGAAACATCAGCTGCCAGCGTGCGATGGATACAAAGCCGAGAGCACTTCACTTGAACACATCTTCATTTTAACACGATAAAGCACAGTTAGCATTCAGCCACTGTGGCTCCCGGAAGACTTTGACACCTCTCTTTATTTAATGTTGTCATGTCACATTATGCTCACATCAGCCAGCAAAATGGGAATAATCTGGGATCATTCACTAATTATTTGAAGACGGTCACCCCCACAGGTCCCAGCAGATCAGCAGAAATGCAGTCTGTACTATCAATTTCTATTGTCTGTCTGTAGCAGTTCTGACACAAATTATACCAGGTATAAACTAGAGTTATCGCTTTGCCAGCCAGTCAAATTGACGGTAATGGGACAGACGTAAGGTCACTGACCTTCTCCTTTGACCACCAACATCTAAAAATTTAGTTCATCCTTGGATTTAAGTGGATGTTTGTGCCAAATCTGAAGAAATTCCCTTATTTTACTTAACTGCCAGACGTGTCCATCATAAACTCTCTCTCTGAGGTCACCAAGTCCCTAAAATCTTTATCATTCAGACACTGCGATCCACTTCCTGCTGCACGGGGAATGATGTGCTTTATGTTTGCAGTGTGTCTGGAGTGAAGAAAGTGGAAGGTATCTGAGCCTGATGGATGAGAAGTGTTTATGGAAAAGATGAGTGTCCAGGTTATGATGGAGGATGCAGAGCGTGACCGGACTTGGATCCAGTAGAGGCTGAATGGAGCTGGACATTAAAACCACCTCAGTTAATGTTAACGATGACAAACTGATGAGTCATTTTCAAAAATTGCATCTGTTCTGAATTTGGGTGAACCCCCATCTGTAGCTGATATGTTTAGGGACAAAACAAGGGGAAAAAACGCACACACATTTAGTTTGAAACGTAAAACTGACCGACCATGAGGAGTCAAACGTCTGCAAAGGACGGTGAAATGACTGTGGACAGACAACAGAGCAGGACACAGAAGGCTGGATTGTGTGCTCCCAAACACAAACAATAACAACAGTCTTCTTGTGATAACATCAACTGTTCAAATTATCCATATTGATCAGTTTGAAAAAATATTGATATAATATTTTTGGCCATCTCGCCCGGGCCTAGGAGGCCGTTTGTCTGTAGCAGCTGTTACAAGCTCCCACTCGATCTTCTCCTTTGTTAATGGGGAATATTAATTTCCTGTATTCCATCTTTACTGCATTAATATTTGATGATTAAATATAGCTAGGAGCGTCTCAGCCTCGTCTCCAGCCAGGCTTTGTCTCGGCCTTTGTCTTGCCTGCCGTTTTATTTCTGTCTCCCTTTGTCTTGGTCTTGTGTTTCTGTCTTGTGCTTTTTCTCTCTTTATGTCTTTCAAAGTGTCTTTCTTTTCTTTACTCCTCTTATTCACTCCTTTCTTTTGGTTTTTACGTTAGCACAGTCTTCCTCTCACTACACGGTCTCCTCAGTCCAGTCTGGTTGTTGCTGACCAGATGCCAAGGTTTTCCTTCAGTTGTTCCCATGTGTGACCAGGCATAATGAGGATAGATTTATTATATAACACTCGGATGTTGTGTTTACTGTAGTGTGCATCAGTTCTATTTGTTTATTTGTATTGTTTTGTGTCTACTATTCTAACAATCACTCTTGAAAAAGAGAAGGCAATCTCAATGAGGCTTTACCCGGTGAAACAAAGGATAAATAAATAAATAGATATTTTAGTCACAGAGAGCTCGAGAACACAAACCAACAGGCTGAATTTGTGCAATTTATTCTTTTTTTTCTTTCCACTGTATCCTCTGTTCCACCCCACTGTGCACTGTTGCCTATCCTTAGGCCCCACTTACACTTGTCTTTTTAAGTGTCTAATATCCAAATCAAACCCAGTGCACTTTTGTTTGCTAACGTGTGTTTGCGATGATCAGATGACACACGTGTTTGCATATGTCTCGGCTTTTCTGGGTTACAAATGAGAGCAACACCTACTCCAGTCCAGAGGATGGCGGTGACGCACCTGAAGCTGTTCGGCAGAAGAATAACTTGTGCAGTTAAGCAATTTAGAAACAACAATAACAGTTCAGTTATCTAGCTGAAAATTTAAACTAACACAACCAAGCAGACAAATCTAAAATGAGACATTAGCTTTAAACCTTAGCTGCTGCTGTAGGCTAAGTGAAATGACGTCGTACAGACAGCAACCGTCAGGAGAAGTAAAGATTGTGCAAGTGTCTTGGAGACATGGATGCATTTACATATTTTCAATGATGTATCTGTCTCAAACCATCTCATAAGACGCTGTTAATCAGGCTCCCCACAGCTCAGTGAAGTGACTACGTTAACTGCTAAAGGGGTCTTAATCCTCTGACAGGTCGCCACTGTTCTCAGTGACTTTGTACTAGGAAGTGTTGCAGGGTAAACTGCAATCTAACTATAATCCTGGGCAACTTGGTGATCTGCTATGCTAACAGGTGTCTGGTCTGCACACGCCCTCCTTGTCCTTTACACACCAAACTTAACTTATAAAAACAAGCACACACAAGCGCTCGTACTGATACGCACATACACATTCCTACCTGCAAACAACTTAGAATGCCTGCAAGCATCCGCATGTGGAGTGTTACACACACACACACACAAATATATACACACTCATATTTGAAACCATACGCCCACGAGCACAGTTAAGATGCACTGGCACACACATGCCTGTGAGCGTCTCCACAAATCACACACACACCTCTGTTGACAACAGAAAACAGCCAGTATCTGAGGAATTGGGACAGAGAAAATTCAAGGGCTGTTCTTTCCACAGCAGAGGTTCCCTGCAGCAAAGCACCATGGGAAATGCTGCATGACCCTAAAACAAAATGTTTTTCCACACAACACCCAGGAGACCCTCACAAAACCCTGAGACATAAAACTGTGCTCCTCTGGTTGCGTTTACCTTGTTTCCAACCAGGACAGAAATTCTGATGTAGATGCTTTCTATAAGTGAACCTCCAGGTGTGCACTGACTGTGCACTGACTGTGCACTGACTGTGTACGTCGTATTTCACTTTGCTTCCATTTGCTCACATGTTGTTTCATCAAAACTCCGGGCCAATAAATCTTCATCTGATTGAACTGAGAGAGCTAAAGAGAGATGGACCACTTCAGTCTTTAAGCCACTGGGGGACCCAGTTGAGTGTTACGCAACCGATCCATGCCAACACACACACACAGGCCAGCTGTGCCTGATTCCAGCAGTGAAAACTATTGCTGTATTTGTCCCTCTCTGCTTCCCTGTTTTTCTCTATCTGCCTCTATCAGTCTATCGCTCCTGCCTCTTTCTCGTGGTTTGAGTTAAACCCCAGTGAAGGAAAATCTTAATCCTTATAGCGCACTTTCAGCTTTGTGCCAGCGGGTTAGCCCTTTCCTATTTCAACATGGCAGCAGCCCTGC